AAATACATCAAAGTTTACCACAAGAGTAGTTTAGATGAAGAAAAAAGAAGATTATAAATAAATTTCCATGGCTATGACCTATTCAGATTTATATATTAATAATATTTATACATTTTAAAAACAATAAAACTTCAATCAAGACATACTTTACTCAAAGAACAAATAATAAATACAAAAACTTTTCATTATGAGCATATTAGATAGCCGCACATAAATTCCGATTCTACTCAGAGTCTCTCCATCAAAACTGACGCTCAATATTATCCGATCAAGCAGTCTCAGCTCAAGTGATCCACTCGGGATAAAACTGATCTCGCAGTCGTTGGAAGATTTGCCTTTTATCACACCTCCGCGCAAACCTTGGCCTAACCGCCATTTCTCTCCGCTGTCGAGTTGTCACTCAGCGTGACATTGTTGCGCGTCAGTCGTCGCTCATTCAAAAGAAAAACAGACTATCACAGAATAGACATTATCTTAGGGGTATCTCGACTGTCGTCTGCACATCATCAACAAAAACAGCTCAGCTGAGAGCAGCGGAACGTCGTCGTCGTCGCCGTCGTCGTCGTCGTCTCATGAGCTGTCACTAATACGGTAACTGCTCCAATTTAAGTTAGAATCTCAGCAGCATCTCGTCTGGGGAAGTGAGCAACGCTGCTGGTGCTGCTGCTATTGCTATTGCTATTGCTATTGCTCTCCATAGATTAGCGGGCGAGCGCGAGTTGAGCTCAGGAGATTGCTAAAGATATAATACAAATGCACAAATCTATATGGCCCGTCCGATAAGAGATTCTTATATATTTGTTCACTCAGTCTCGGTGCGAACGGCGACTGTGAAAGTGGAAGCGCGGCAGCCCAAAATCCAAATCGAAGCCAAACCGAATCAAGAGGCCAATTCAGGCAAAAGTTTGACAAATATTAAAATATCAAGTATACGCAATGTAGGCAAATGAAGTGTGAAGTGAGTGCAGAAGTCAAGCTGAAATAAACCTTGTAAAAATGCAAAATAATAGTTAAATTATTTAAATTGAGTAAACAGATAAATACAACTAAAAAACCTTGAAAATAATAAAAAATTAAATTTAAATAAAACCAGCACAAATATTTTACAGTGTAACAAAATGTAACAACTTAAAAAGAAAACAGCAAAGTTAAAATATATACTTCAATATATATATATATACAAATATATAAAAAGGAAAAAATACCGAAGCAACAACAACAACAACAATTTCGACTTTTGTGCGCCGTTTATGAACACAAATTTCAATTGGATTTAATCAAAATCATAAGAAAACTCTGCCACAGATCCAAACACTCAAAGCACACGCACACACAGACAGTCATTAAGTTGTGTGTGTACTAGTATACCTGTGTGTAGGTGTGAGTCTCTCTCTCGCTGTCTGTGTGTGTCCCAGTGTCGTCTGACCGAGAAACTAAGACGCTGCGTCGCTGCATTTTATTGAAGCGAACTTCAAACAGCCAAACACATAAGTAAAACTTTGCACCAGTGAGTGTGTGTATGTGGGTGTGTGTGTGTGTATCGGAAAGTAACTGAAAGTATCTTCAAAATGGTCAAAATGGCCAGCGAGGAGACGGTCACCGAGCCATCAAACGCCGAAAAAGTCGAATTGTCGCACTTTGGTGAATTCTGCCAGCGTCGCGGCATTAATCCCAATTTGATAATGCTCAAGATAACGCTCTTTGTCATGTATGGAGGTGAGTACGCATATAGAGATACCGAATATAGATACGGCTACAAATATATGCTGATAGATAAAAAGATAAAGAGCCAATGCCATTAAAAAGTAATTATAGAGGGGAAGGAAGCGGACTCTGATGAATTTCGAGCTAAACGAAACGTGACGTCCAATCAACGTCTTGTCAATGTTGTGCTGGGC